CCCCAAAACCCCAAAACCCCAAAACCCCATCAGATGAGGATTTGAAATATTTATGATATTCGAAAGATTTAGTAATAATTTGAATAATGGGTTAATATCTTTGCTGCCTTGATCAGAATATCGATCCAGCTTAGCCATCTAAACAAGATGTGAGGTTGATTAGGGTATCGAAAAACTATCCAAAAGTCACCTAAATTACCATTGAACAAATAGCTTTAGATCTCTTGGGAGAATCTTCAAACTATAATAATCTTTATCAGCCTAATTAGCAACTTTCGTTCTAAGTTTCCTTTAATACTTTTAATCTCTAGAAAATGACTCTTGTAAAATTTTCATCGTAACCTAACTTTTAATTATAGTAAGAAAAACTAATTTTGAAGATAAACTTTGGGGATGATGAAGAAACAAGCTTCAAAAGCGAAGTATTCTAACCAGATAGCATAGGAAATGCAACAGTAAATTACTATAAAATCGATAATCGGCTCATAGATTTTGGTGCCCTAAAGTTTCATTCTTGATTGCTAATTCAAAGACTTGACAGAACAATTCTTTTCATTGGTAAAAACCCTGACTAAATAACTTATTCAAATAGAGTTTATTCTCAGCATTCGATGAAATCAGACCAATAAGCAAAATAATGATAGATTACTTCACTTTGGCAATCTGCCCTTAACATTGTGAGATCGAACTAAAGAGCATCAAAAACGAGAAAATATTCGGCAGAGTCTAATTTGATATAGAATTTTAGCAGCTTGAAGAAATATAGATTGTAATGAAAGATTTGAGGTGTAGATTTGACGGAAAGAATGAAAAGCCTCTATATGCAGTATTTAAAGCATTGACTAATTAAGAATCTGTTGTATCTAAAGAAACTGAAACTCTATTCGGTAAATTTAAAGATTACCATAAATTACTATATAGGTGAATATAACAAGGAAAAGAATAAGACTATCTATCATTGGGGTATAGCAATGAACTTGTATGAAGATCCAACAGTTAACATAAATGCTAGTATGAATACTATAAAATAATCTACACTGCATATTTGCCTGTACCAAAATAAAGAATTCCAAAGAATAGACCAGCTCAAAAGAAAGAGATCAAGATAAAGTAAGGATCTAGACGACAGTTTTGATGAACTAGAGCAAAATGAGCCAAGAACTTAGAGAAACAGTAAGAGATCTAGTTAATTCTCAACATTTAGCACATATAAGGAATAGCCAACCAATAAGAGTCCTCTAAAACTCAAAGGAAGAAGATTTTCAAAGCTAAACAATGGTGAGTTTACAGCGGATCTAAAAAAACATAAAACAATAACTAGAATCATAAAGAAACCTAGCCTTGATGGAATTACTGAATATAACTCGAATTTGAAATAAGATTCTGCTGATTTTTAATCAGATGATGATGAGTTGTTTACAGATCTAAACGGAGAATGCTATATCTGTTTTTCGAAGTTGTTAAAAACTGAGTTGAGATTATTTGATAGAAGAGACTCTTTCGTAATCAAAAATAGTATGAGCATGACCAAGAGGTAGTCTACTATGGATTTAAGTGCAGCTAATGATTCAATAAGCGGATTAAAATTAGGAGTTTCATAGAGAGGATTTGGAACACAAGATACTAATATGTCATTAGCTCGATAATAGTCTAGCAAGCAGATTAAGAAATTTAGTGAGAAAATATCTGTGGGAGGAAAATATAATGGTAAAATTAAAGGGTCATATAAGATCTCAAATATTCCAGTACTTCAGCAAATGAGTATTGGGATTTTAACTGAGAATGGGATATTTATGACTTCTGCCCCAATTTTGACTGATAATGAAACTAGTTTGTTCTTTTTCAAGAAGAGTAAAAGCAATCAAAAGATCAAGGATCTTTAAAATCTCATTAAGAAACTAAAGGAATTAGATTAGCTCAAAGGTAGAAAGCAAACAAAGTCAAGTTAGGAAAAAGAACAATTACTTAGGGAAATAATAAATCTACTTTAGTAATCTGATCAATTTTAAAGGAAAATGTTCTACTATGAATGCTGCTTGGATCTTATAGGAGCACAGTAAACATTAATAGAACTTGGATTTCATTGCTTAATGTTTGCTAGTAATGTCAAATACGAACTAAGGCATTATTACTATACAATGCTAACACTTATTTTTGAAAGAGAAGAGTTGAAATTATCTTCAGTAGGTTTCCTTGCTGATGAGGAATCGGAGGGTCTTTTTGGCTTAAATCAAAAAGCTCTATAGAGCTAAGGAGTAAACAAAGAATAGATCAAAGAGGAGAGACTTAAAATAGCCAAATATTACTAAAAATTGTTATTTAATACCTTAGATGATGCAATTACTAAATTTTGCAGAAAAGGTGTTGAACTCTATCTTAGAAACTATATTGAAAAGTTTATTAGTACAGCTTTATTCAGAATCCCTAACTTTAGAAAGGTTTTTATTGAAACTATTCTTAAGAAGTCCAATAATTCCATTGAGGAATGGAAAAATATATCTTGGAATATTGACAATAATCAAGATGAAGATTAGGATGCTTCACTACAGTAATTCTTCGATTGGGAAAATCACTTTTACTTGCAAATTCCTGATTGCAAAGAAAAGAAGGATGCTTAATAGATACTCTTAAGAATGATGCATAATGAAAAGTGGCAGAGCAAAATCTAAAAAAGAACTCAGGCATTCTTTGAAATAATTTGCAAAGTAGTTGATCTAATGCATCATACTGTGAGTGCGCATAATCAGAGCAAACAGAATATGTTTTGGTAAGATATTCCTGGCTACAATCAAATCCTAAAAGCATTCTTACAAGAATTAAAAAACCTCTAAATATTGGATTACCCTGATTCACTGATAGAGGCATCAAATACTTTTCTCACAAATACATAGCTCTTATCAATATTTATTACAATCATTTTTAAGAAGACAAAGTAAGCTTAAATGCTATCTTAAATACTTTTAGTGTTTATGATTCAATAATGATGACAAAATCTTATGATTTAGTAACCAAATGGATTATTATGATTGATAAAAAAGGAGAGCCGTTTCCTTCTAATTTTGATTTTAGTTTCTTCTTTTAAGCTATTTAGATATCCCTAGATAAGATAGATCACAATCTGTCAACTTCAAAAGTGCTTTGGTCATTGTACAAGATACTTCACATTTTACCTTTGGAACAGCGATTAATTTTATCTCATGAATTTATAAGGAAATATTTTTACAGATTTTTTTTCCATTGGTCTTACAACATTAGAGAGGTTTTTTACATGCTCTTGCTCTACGAAATCGATTTTAATCTTTTATAAGTTTAAGCCAAAAAGTAATATTAATTTCATGAGTTAACTTTAACTAAGGATGACTTAAATTGAAGATTCTAGAAAGTCAATGAGCAGCAGCAGATTAGGTGAAATGAGTAATTTTGACAAGAGATAGTTTAGAAAGTAGCAGACTATAAATTTAGAAAAATATTTAGAGGATTTAAATATGGAAAAGTCATAGAGCAAAGATTCAAATAACACTCGTGGAGGCTAATCAAACGATGACGATGAATTTTTCACCTTGTTAGAGACTGTTCAATCGCAAAGAGCATCAACTAATAAAAGATCATTTATTAAAAAAGAGAGCGAGAGAAAATAGATTCTTACCAAGGTAATTTTACTTTAAATCTAGATTAAAAAATATAGTTGATGAATGTTCAAAAACTGATTGATCAAAAATTTGATGACATTGAGTACTTATCTCAGTATGTCAAGATGAAGGGTAATTATTAATTACCCTCTAAGAAGGCAAACGAAATAGATGAAGAAGAAGAATATGTGCCAACTTCTGACTCTGATTCTGACAAGGAGAAAGATGAGGAATAACTAAAGCAGATAAAGATTGAGAATATTAACCATAAATTGGACGAGATTAACTTAAACAAAATCATGAATAGAATTCCAGAGGAGCTGCATATTTATGTGCAGGATAAGGTATTTAATTAATACGACTAAATGTTCCATGAGTTCGAAGAGTGGCAATCTAGAATTACTAGCGGTGAAAATAGTAGATAGGTAGTTATACTTCCAGAAATAAATGTGGATAATTTAGTTCCTCTTGATGATGTCTTTCACGAGAACAAAATTAAGGAATATTGAATTGATTTAAATTATCGAAAGTTAGAATCTATTGAATGTATTTGCAAACTTGATTTAGTTAGGATTGGATTATAATATTTAAGTGAATAATTTATTTTATTTTATTTCAAAATTAAAACTTAAATGCAAAGCGATAGATACTAATCTCCAGATACCTCAAACATTGTAGAGCAAGTTGACGTTTCAGCCCACAGACTAAACTACTCACCCTCAGGAGACAAATGTAAGATTAGAATTGAATTCTCAAAGTAATAGTAAACATAAGTGGAAACCTCTCAAACAGATCAGGCAGATCAGGAAGTGCTGTTAGATCCAGACTGTTTATGGGTATCTTTTTAGCAATTTAATCTCATCTTTAGATGGACAAGAGAAAGCTGACGAGGAGCAATGGGCCAAAGAAGAGTTTGAAAGAGAATTGCATGAGCTTCAAAACAAAGAAGGGGTTACACAAGAGGAGATCGACTAGTTCAGGAAATCAGCTATTCTTAAGAGGTCATTAGATGTCGTCAAGACAAAAGCTAATGAACTCGCAGCCATTAGAAATAGCCCATCTAGATACAACACAGTTAAGTCAAAGGTTGCTAGAAACATTAAGGTCCAAGATAAGGCTGTGAAAAAGCAAAAAAAAGCTATGATTGCTGCTCAAATGGGAGTAGAGGAAAGCAATGCATCCACAATTCAATAAGATATTAACTCTTCCTCACTCAAATTTGACTCGACTTTGAATGTGAGACAGTTAGGTATGTCAATCAACCAAAAAGGAAGCACATGGGAGAAGACTCATAACAAAAAGGTTCAAGAGAAGGACGACTTGATTAGGCAAAAAGAGCAGGAGATTGAGCAACTACAAAATGATATTAAATCAAGGAAAGTCAGAGAGAATCTTTCACCTGAGAGATGGAGTTCACCCTCTAGGATTCATGTTGAGAATAAAGAGTAGAATTAATAGAAGCCTCAACAATAAGCAGAAGTTCAGATTAATGTTCAAATCAACACCTACACTTAAGTCTCATAATAAATCACAAACACCAATAATCAAGTCGTAAGTCTAATTTTCTTTTTTACATATTTAGTAATAGCAACAACAATAATAATAATAGAGCCCAGAGCCAAAGGCTTAATCTATTCAAGTTAAAAGTAAAAAGAATGCTGTTTCATCAGGATACATGGGTGGGAACTAAAAGCCAGCCTAATAAGTTGTTGAACAATAGCAAACAGTCTAGGTCTAAGTTCAGGTATAAGCTCAAATCTAAGAGTAAAAGCAGGTTCCCCAACCAGAATCAAAGCCAACTCTTCCACCAGTTGATGAAGAAGATACATTCCAGCAAATGGCTTAAGCTCAATATCAAAGAAATGAACCTTAAAAGGACCATAAATTCCTGAACAGGGATTTGGAAAACAAAACTATCGCTATTTAAGAAGAATTCGATAACCTTCTCGAAGAGATGATGAATAACAGACAAAATAGAGATACTGAAGGTTTTTACAAGATTATGGATCAATATTATAGTAATGATCCAGTTGAAAAGCATGACTCACCAACTAAGAGACTAATCTCTCATAAAAATTCAGTCTAAGATCACAAGAAGGCCATGAAGGATAATATCCAAAGAGGAGATTATTCAATGACATATTGTACTGAGCCAGGTAAGAGTTATATTATTGAGCCAAAGGGTGGCCAAATCAATTATGATATTGTTCACAGAAATCCAACCAAGTTCTATGATCAAGTCTTCAATTAAGAGATTGTTAAGCACAAGATCAAAGAAGATGAAACTTAAGTCAGAAAATCAAAGACCCAGATCTAAATCTCATCTAAAACCACTACTAGACCATACTTAAGAATTATGCACAAGATCAAGGTTAGGTTAGTTGAGATGCTTCAATAGAAGATAGGTCTTGAGTTCGGAAAAGATATTTTAGAAGCCATGGATTCTACAGTTGTTCATAATAAGATCAAGAAATTTATGTAATAAGATAAAATTTAGATTGTCAATCAAAACAATGATCAACTTTATGGGAATGTAATCAACTAAGCTGCCAATGTTGACAGCGATGATGAAGCCAGTCAATAGGCTTTAAATGAACAACTTGAGTATGAGGATGGTGGATCCCCAGATTTCAAGAAGAACAATGCTAAATTGGTAAAATTATATATATAACTTAATATCTTTATAGCAATTAAAGGATAATGATCTTGAGGATCTTGAAAATGAAGTTAGACATGAAATTCAGAGACAATAGAGCAAAGCTCAATGATTAGAGAACAGTAATGGCCAATGTGCTTGGTCAAGCACTCAGAGAAATTATTATATTCATGAGTATTTCATATTTGAATGATAAGATAATTACCCTATTTTTTATCCATCATATTTACCTTTAAGGGGTTTTGGGGTTTTGGGGTTTTGGGGTTTTGGGG